ATTTTGGTATGTTGTGTTTTCATTCTCATTTGTTTCTAGGAACTTTATGAATATATGTTTAATTTCTTCTTTTACCCAGGTGCTTTTCAGCAGGGTGTTGTTCAGTTTCCATGTATTCGACTTTATTTTTAGTCGTCTTATTATTAGTTTCTAGTTTTATAGCATTGTGTTCTGAAAAGATGTTCTGTAGTATTTATGATGTTTGTTAATTTATGGAGGCTTGCTTTTTGACCTAACACATGGTCATTTCTGGAGAATGTTCCATGTGCACTGGAGAAGAAAATACATTGTGCTGTTGTTGGGTTGAATGCTCTGTGTCCGTCTATGAGGTCAAGTTGGTTGATTGTGCTGTTTAGTTCCTCTGTAACTTTTTTGAGTTTCTTTTTGGTTGTTCTGTCCTTTATTGAAAGAGGCCTATTAAAATCTCCCACTATAATTGTAGATTTATCTATTTCTTCAATTCTAGTAAGGTTTGCTTTATATATTTTGGTGCTTTTTCATTGGGAGTGTAGATATTTATTATGGTTATATCATCTTGCTCAATTAACCCTTTGATCATAAGATAGTGTCCTTTATCTCTTATGCTGATTTTTGTCTTAATGTTTACTTATCAGAGATTAGAATTGCCACTCATGCTTGTTTAGTGTTTCAGTTAGCTTAGTATATTTTTTTCCATCCTTTGACTTTTAGTCTGTTTTTTCCTTTGTGTGTAAGGTGTGTCTCTTGCAGGCAGCATATCGAAGGGTCTTGTTTTCTTATCCAATATATGCCACTCTCTGTGTCTTCACTGGTGCATTTAATCTATTGACAATGTAATTATTGATAGGTATGAATTAATTGTTGCCATTATATTAATTTTTTGGTAGTGCTGTTCGTTCCTTTGTTCTGCATGCCTTTTTGTGCTGAGTTTTGTGTTTTTTATGCTATTTCTCTTTGGTTTTTATGTTTGCTTGTTCTGCTTGAAAACTAATTTTGATGCTAAGTTGTGAAGCATTAAGTTTTCTCTCTATTTAAGAGAATCTATTGTATCCTGTAATCTACCTGACATCCTCACCACCTGGATCTCTGTTCCTACATTTATCCCTTTTTTGACACTGATATTATTTTGATCTTTGGTTTACCTCCTTTGAATTCATTGTTGTAGTTTTGTTGTGTTCTGGACTCTGCTATCTGTTGACTGAGTTCCAGGTGGTATTGCCATGCCCATCAATCTCTGGTTGTTGTCTTTTCTTGTTGGTTTTCAGTCCAAAGAACTCCCTTTAGGATGTTTTGAAATGGTGGATTGGTTTTGTTAAATCTCTTAGATACTGTTT